CCACGGGCATGGCTGTTCCACACACGTGTTTTTGTTACGATGTTATCCATTGTCAATGTCGTGATTGGAAACGGTGCGAATTCACATACTATTTACCTTATCCTTTAAACGCAAGACGACAAGTCTAATTGAAACTTGTTTCCTTTCTAGGAAAATCGCACCACGTATGGCCAAAGTACGGTTGGCACTCCTGTCAGATGAGGAACCTGGGGTGGCTACGAGGAGTCTACTGTAAACTATAGATAATAAGCAGGGCAACAAAAGTGCCAGCGCCTCAAATCAGTTGCCAACGGAGCGGTGAGTGTTGCTGGCATGACAATAACCGGCTTTGGCAGGCTGCCTATCATGCTGGGCACGTCCCGCCGCGAGGAGCGCGTCATCACGCCTATAATGCCGGGTACGTCCCGCCGCGAGGGGCGCGTCACCACGCCTACCATGCTGGGTACGTCCCGCCGTGGGGAGCACGTTATCACGCCTATAATGCCGGGTACGTCCCGCCGCGAGGAGCGCGTCATCACGTCTGCCATGCTGGGCACGTCCCGCCGCGGGGAGCGCGTCATCACGCCTACCATGCCGGGTGCGTCCCGCGAGGGGCGCGTCATCACGCCTACAATGCTGGGTACGTTCCGCCGCGAGGAACGCGTCATCACGCCCACAATGCCGGGTACGTCCCGCAGCGAGGAGCGCGTCATCACGCCTGCCATGCCGGGTACGTCCCGCGAGGGGCGCGTCATCACGCCTACAATGCTGGGTACGTTCCGCCGCGAGGAACGCGTCATCACGCCCACAATGTCGGGTACGTCCCGCAGCGAGGAGCGCGTCATCACGCCTGCCATGCCGGGAACGTACCGTGAGGGGTGCGTCATCACGCCTACCATACCGGGTGCGTCCCGCGAGGAGCGCGTCATCACGCCTATCATGCCGGGTACGTCCCGCGAGGAGCGCGTCATCATGTATCCAGCTGGCCGGCAGCACGGCTGTTTATTCGGCACGCCAGGCTGCAGGCCAAACACGTCGACCAATCGCCAGCTGCACACCGACAACATGTTTTCGGGAGTTCAGGCAGCAGCGGTCTCGAAGAGCCCGTGGTGAGTTACGTGACATGCGGTACGGTATGGCGATGTCCCTGGTCTCGGTCCCGCTGTCGTGCTGTCGCTGGTAACCGCTCATATTCACGTTCTGTCAGATTTTGTGTATGTTTAATCTATTGGATTCGGAACAGGACATCACATCACATTCATGATTCTTCACCTTGTTCTAAAACTAGCAGGCTGCACGATGGGACTTGTAAGAATCATAGTTTGAACTTCCATGTTGTTGCAGCGTTTGAGCCGGATCCAGGCTTCCACTGAAAACGCATAAGATGTTTAATTGTAGCCCACGAACACCGACTCCAGGATTTATTTTACATCACGTGATCTTCAAGGTCAAATTCATATGAATTCAGATGAAATTGATATGGCTAAATGACGGAACTCTCCAATCACCCAAAAGTTGCCGGCTGATTGCGGATTCTTAAACAATAGAATATTCACCAGCGCATAACCTAACGCGCGTCAAAAAGTCCTGGCCTTGAATTGTTACCCTTCAAGGTCAAATGACGGGAATTCATCCTCACGCGGAAGTTACTGGCCCATTAATGATTATTCAGCATTTGAATCGCCTTCAGCACACAACCTAGCGTCTGTCGAGGAGTTCTGACGTCTCGAGGTCATCCGTCAAGGTCAGATTAAGGCTCAGATGAATTCCAACTCAACAGCACTCAAAGGGTGCTAGTAAAATGCAGATTCTAAGCGCCCGGGTCAAGCGACGGGAAGTTCCATATCATTCAAAAGTCAACTACTGAAATCGAATTTTTAAGCATAAGAATATTCACTGGCGCTTGAACCAAGTGTTTGCCAAAAATTTCTGACCTCTCAAGGTCAGAATGTCGGTCAAAAGGTCAGAAGAGAATATTGGAGTTCAGAAGGCCAGAATGCCTACCTCTCAAGGTATTCAAGGTCAAATGACGAGACCTTCATTCACCCTAAAGATATTGACCAATTTTTGATTATTCAGCATCATAATCGGGTTCACCGCACAAATTAGCGTCTGTCAAGAAGTCTTGCCCACCCAAAATCCTCCTTGAAAGTCAATTAGGGCTCAAATAACGGAATTTCAAAGCACCTAAAAGTAACCGGCCGCTTTCGGACTTTAAAGCACCAGAATCTTCATCAGAGCATGAACTATTGTCAGTCTACGTGTCCTGGCCTCTCACGATCACCCTTGAAGGTGACCCCCACGCTGAAATGAGGGAACTCAGTATCACCCTAAGGTTACCTGGCTATTTGAGATATTTAGGCATCAGAATATTCACTCCCATGAACCAGCTGAAGAAGGCCTTCAAAGTGGGATGCAGGATCGAAGGACGGGGAAATATTATCCCTCAGAAGTTAACGGTCTTATTTAATTTGTCAGCATCTGGATTTTGGCACCGCATATCATTGTTCTTATATATATATATATATATATATATATATATATATATATATATATATATATATATATATATATATATATATATATATAATAC